ATTCATTATGTTGTATAACCGTCTTCACTGTCTAGTTCCAGAACATTTTTATCACCCCAAAAGGTAACCCCAAACCTATAAAGCTATTTTATTTCCCATTCTCCCCTCCCCACAGCCCCTGGCAAGGACTAATCTGCTTTGTATCTCTATGAATTTACCTATTCTGGACATTTCATATAAATGGAATGGAATATGTGGCCATTTGTGTCTAGCTTCCTTCACTTAGGATAATGTTTCCAGGTTCATCCATGCTGTAGCGTGTATCAGTATTTCATTTCTGCTTGTGACTGAATAATATTCCATCCTATGGATATGCCACAGTTTGTTTATCCATCTGTCTGCTGATGGACATTGGATTTTTTCCCACCTTCTGACTATAATAAATAATATTGTTCTACATATTTGTGTGCAGGTTTTGTGGGGGCATATATTACCCTTGGGCGCTTACCCAGGAGAGGAATTGTTGGGTCATATAATAGTTTTATCTTTAACTTGTTGAAGAACCATCAGACTGTTTTCCACCATGGCTGTATCATTTTATACTCCCACCAACTATGTATCAGGGTTCCAGTTTCTCCATGTCCTCATGAATGCTTACTATTATTTTTAAATTGTAGGCATCTTGCGGGGTCCAGAAGGGTATGTCATTGTGGCTTTGATTTGCATTTCCTTGATAGCTAATGGCACTGAGCATCTTTTCATGTGCTTTACTATCTAGTTCCAGAACATTTATTTATCTTTGGAGACGTGTCTATTCATGTCCTTGCCCATTTTTAAATTGAGTTGCTTACTGAATTGTAAAAGTTCTTTATATATTCTGGATATTCCCACTGGGCTTATCCTTCAGATCCCAGCTCAAAAAGGGAAGTGGGAGACATCCCACTATACACTTTTGCGTACAAGGTTTTGTGTGAACATGTATTTATCGAAGACCTGAAGTGGGAGAAGTCCCGCTTCCCTTTTTGAACTGGACTCTGAAGGATAATTAGAAGTTCACTTGGTGACTAGTCTTGGGAAGACCTTTCCAGGCAGAGAGCATAGTACGTACCTGCTGTATATGTCATCTTGGGCTGCCATAAAAAAATCTGGTAGTATGGGTGATTTACACAACTGAGATTTATTTTCTAACAGTTCTAGAGGCTGGAAGATCAGGGGACCAGCATAATCTGGTTCTGGTGAGAGTACTCTCTTCCTGGCTTGTAGACAGCCACCTTATCACTATGTCCTCACATGGAAGGGAAAGAGAGAGAGAGAACCCTTTGGTGTCTCTTCTCACAGGGCACTAATTCCATCATGAGGACCTTGGCCTCTTGACCTAATCTAAGCCTAATTAGCTCCCAAATGCCCCATTTCCAAATACCATTCCACTGAGGGATAGGGTTTCAACATGTGAATTTGGAGGAACAGACATATTTAGTCCATACACTTGGCAAGGCTTTGTGGGAGAAAGGGGTGTGGTGAATGAGGCACTGAAGCTAGGTGTCTGCTGGATCCTAAAAAGCATTGAGGAGGCTGGTGAGGTTGGTGGGGGCCACACAAGAGCCAGAGCATGAAGAGCAGACCTTCTCAGTCCTTGTCTTGGGTAGAAACCACCCGTGATCTTGTAAAAATGAAGACTCGAATTCAGTAGGTCAGGGAAGGAGTGAAGATTCTATATTTCTAATAAATTCCCAGGTGATACCAAGGACATAACCACATCGAAGTAGCAAGGACATAAAGCTCCAAAGAGCCTGCTAAGGACAGTAATATTTTCTAAGAGAAAGGAAAGTTATTGAGTGGTTTTATAAAGGAGAGTGACAAGATCAACTTTTTGAAAGATCACTCTAGTTGCTCAGTGGGAAAAATACTGGAATAGGACAAACAATTGGGGGAAAGAGTTAGTAGTTGAATTGATTATGGTTAAGTAAATTAAAGTCTGTATATTCATGTGACAGAATGCTCTATAAACACAATGGTTATGAAAACATTTTCATGACATGGAAAAATATTTGTGACATAATACTAAATAAACAGAAATCAAAGTTATGTATACAAATTGGTTTCAATGTTTTAGAACAATGTGTGTATGAAAAAGCAAATGCAACAGTTTGTTAACAGAGACTCTTGGGAGGTTGGATCATGAGTGATTTTTTTCCCTTTATTTATGTTTTTTCCTGTATCATTTCTACCATTCTCACTCTGATATTTTATTTGTTTAGATTGTTTTCCAAATAGCCACTGAACATTACTAAAGTTGTCAAAAACCTGAAGATTTGTATCTGTGAATCTTAAATAAAACTCTACAAAACCGCAGCTCTAATACAGTAAATAGAAATCCCAGTTGAGCTCATTTCCTGGCCCCTCTTAGGGTGCCATGCTGTTGCTGGTTGTCAATTTCACACATGCAATTTCTATCCATTCAGAGCTGACAGCTTGGATTTCCCTCTCCATTGTAATAGCTGTTCTGTCTCCTGGCTTCCCCAGGCTTGCATTTGGTAACCTTTGCCCTTTTATTTGGTACGAGCCAAAATGGCATCTTTGGAAAACTAATGTTCCAGAGAAAATGGTAGCACGAAGCCATATAACCTACTGTTCTTTTTCTTTCTGTTTGTGAAGGTTATTATTAAAGCTCATTTTAGAGAATTTCAAATCCATTCAAAGTATCATGGGTTTAAATTTTTCTAATGGAAGCAAAGCTTTTGATGTTTGGATTTAGAAAGCTGCCTGGTCTCTTTAGAGTTCAAATTTTCATACATTGGAACAATTGATCAAAGACTTTATTTTAGGACAGAGAGAAAAGGCAATTTACTTTACCTATAGTTGTTTTGTGTTCTCAACATTATTATTATACATTTTTTTTTTCTGAACCATCTCCCTGTTTGAAGATCTGCTTTTTAACTAACATATATTGGCTTCATCTTCTTTTTGATCAGTCTGATAAACCATCTGGAAACAATTGAGAGTGACGTCACAAGTCTAGCATTATGATTTCAATGTAGGATCAAAGAATAGAAGGGAAAAAAGTGAGGAGTGGAGAAGCTCGATTTAACCTTTAAGTACAAATAACTAACAGGGTACAAAAAGGCAAGAAAACATGACAAAATGAAAGGATTATTGATGGACAATAAAGGAAGCATAGTAGGTTTACCTTGAGATTTCACTGAGCTAATATACTGGCTCCCATTTCTATGTTTATTGTAGGAAAAAGAGAAAAACACTAACCCAGGGATAGTGCTGACTAGGGATGCCCAAGTCAAAAAGACATTGTAGCACTGGGCTTGGCAGAGTGTCCTGAAGCTAAATGCAGAAGACTGCGGGAAACGTCTTCAACTGGGGCTAAAGGTCATAAGCAAGGACAATGAACCTGGAATTTAGAGGAATTCATACTCCAGTGAAGAATTTCCAGACCCCTCATGAAAACAGCAGATTGCCAACTCACCATCTAATACTCAAGCTGAAACTAAGCCGCCCCTGGAAAGTAAGCAAATGATTAGAAGGGTGGATTTCAGGCAAGCAAAAGGTGAGAGCCCAGAATCTCCATGTGAATGACCCTAAAATTACAGCTAATATAGAAAGTGGCTTCCTTGTACCTTTAGAAATTGAACTCTCAGAACCTGACTGACAGTCTGCTCTTAAGAACATTAGCTCAATCTGGAGAGAAATGTATGTTTCCAGCTGGCTAGAAAAGTTCTTCTCCTATATGGATTTTAGGTAGAAGCAGAAGGAGGTGAGTGAATTTCAGGGAGGGCACTGGGTCTGGCAAGCTATAAAAACTTTTCTTTGGAGAAATCGGAGAGCAACAACTCCAGATTCTTTTTTTTTTTTTTTTTTTTTATTTAAATCAACAACACTGTATTTTCCAGAATTATCAGCAAATATACTGTAGTTCTATATTTTATCTATGAACGTGATTTATTTAAAACATCCTCGAATGCTACTTAACTTTAATATCTTTTAAAAATACCTTTCTACTAATCAATTTAGTTATACATTTTAAAAATTATTATGAGGTCGTATGTTCCAATTTGAGTTTGGAAAATATGATTACTGTACTAGCTCATGAATCCCTTTGGTTACCAAGCTATGCCCCCCAAATTTTCCTCTACATTAGTTACTCTTATCAAGATTGAAGTTACTCGACTATTTAAGTAATTCTTATCTAATATAACAATTCTCACATTAAAGTGAGGACATTTCCAACCCTTGAGTTTCTGTTGCCTCTCTTCATTTAACTATAATATGCCCCAAATGAGGCATCACTAAAATCTTATTGTTATTTGTGTTTTTTAGAGATGCTGTCTCACTATGTTGCCCAGGCTGGGCTCAAGCAATCTCCCGGCCTCAGCCTCCAGAGTGGCTGGTATTCCAGGTGTTACAGGTCACTATGCCCAGCCCAGGATCTTACTTTTTAATATTATTGTGCAGTGGCACGATCATAGCTCATTGCAGCCCCAATCTCTCAGGCTCAAGGGATTCTCCTGTCTTCGTCTCCCAAGTAGCCAGGACTACAGGGACTACGGGCATGCACTACCACACTCAACTTTCTAAACCATTTTATTTATTTTTATTTGTTTTAGTGGAGATGGGGTTTTGCTATGTTGCCCAGGCTGGTCTCGAACTCCTGAGCTCAAGTGATCCCCTTCAACCTCGATCTCCCAAAATGCTGGGATTACAGGGGTGAGCTATACCATGCCCTCTCTCAGAATCCTATTTTTTAAAGTGAAAAAACAAGTGGTCATATCTATGAAAAAAAAATGACATTAAAAAGGAACATACGCATAACCAAATATTGCTGCCCTCACTTTATTGTGAGAATTGTTTTTATACTACGTATTTGGTTGTATGCTGCTGCCAGTGTACATAAAACAATTACCCTTGTGAAATAGAAATTTATGAAAATTCAGAGAGGTAGATGTGAGGGACTGAAAAGGTAGAAGTTTGTATATTATGGCACATATGTTATAGGGATATGTTTTTGTACAGGCTTCAAATTTCTGGCTCTCTTTTGAATATTCACTGGTTCATGAGAAGTGGTTTGGGAAACCTTTGAAAGGTCCATTTGACCACAAAAGGGAACAGACGTTCTGGAGTCTGGAGAGATTTGAACTGGAAGATACCCCAGTCAGCAGGAAGTCATGTGGAACATTCTGCAGACAGAATTGTTTCAAGTTTGAAGATCCCTGGGATACTTTGATACAGTTGAGTCCAGCCTCCAGCCAGAGCTGTTGAAGCACTTTCTTTATAGCAGCAAGGCTGGGGAAACCAGACATGACACAGCCCAGAGCCGAGCCAATCTGTGGGTTGGTGGCTTGCGAGTCGATGGGACCAGACAGCGGGGCAGTGTGTGGCCTTGATGTGATAATTTTTAAAAACATTCAGCCTTTAGAATCATTTAGATCAAGGCTTTAGCATCATTTTCAACGCAGTACTCTAGGAGCCACTAACAATTGACTGGAGTTTGCATTTGAGTTCAAAAAGTATTTGTCATCCTGGCCTGAGATGAAGAACATATCACTTTTGTCGAAAATTTTGGAGGATATATGTGATTTTATTTAGACATGGAATGATTTCATATTTTTGCTTAGTACAATTACAAATTTATGAACATTCCCAGGTTATAAATGTCCGATTTGTAGGTTGTTTAAAACTCATAACCTATAGGCCGGGTGTGGTGGCTCACACCTGTAATCCTAGCACTTTGGGAGGCCAAGGTGGGCGAATCATGAGGTCAGGAGTTTGAGACCTACCTGGCCAACATGGTGAAATCCCATCTCTACTAAAAACACAAAAAATTAGCTGGGTATAGTGGCACTCACCTGTAATCCCAGCTACTCAGGAGGCCAAGGCAGGAGAATCGCTTGAACCCAGGAAGCGGAGGTTGCAGTGAGCCGAGATCGTGCCACTGCGCTCCAGTCCAGGTGACAGAGTGAGACTCCGTCTCAAGAAAAAAAAAAAAAAAGAAAAAACAGCCCAAAAAACCCCCTCATAACCTATGAAAACAACAGTGGGAGTGGGAGGACAAAGGAAGGAGACAGAGGACAGAGTATGTTTATCTGTATCTATCAGCACAACAAAATACTTCATAACCAAATCTCATAGAGTCTGATGCTTCTGGCTTCAACTTGTTTCTTCATCATGTATTAAAGCTGTGTGACTTTTTTTTTTTTTTAATCTGGTTAATTTGTTTGTAAAATGGGGTTCTTTTCAAAATTAAATATGGTAGCTTAAGCAAAACACTGCTTAGTACATAGTGCATACTAAGAGTACATAAGAGTTAGCTTTGATTAACAGAGCTATTTCTGTTCCTTCTGAAATGAAGGAAATCCTAGCCAATTCTCAATCTTTTTTTTTTTTTTTTTTTAATAGGATCCTTGGCAACTTAAATTTTTCTAATTAGACACCACCTGGATATCAGTGTGTACTAATGCAATGCAGGTGGTGCAAAAGGAAGTTTACTAAGAAACAGAAACCATTGGCCCTTGGCCCAGTTGGTTTTCAACAAATTGTTGAGCAAGTTATTTACCTTTTCTGGGTTCTCAGTTGCTCACATGTAAAATTGTGATCTTATAATGTTATATCAGATGGTATTATTTTAGAGGGATTTGCAAATTGGGAAATTCGTGAAGTAGGTTCCATTTCCTTGCTGTTATCTCTCTTTGATTCCCTCTCCTCTTCCTTTCCAGGAATGGACACACCCACCCAAATCATTCAGGCTCAAATCTAGTCTGTATTAAGTTAAAATGTTTATGTGAACACAAGAGAAATGAAAACATACATCCACACAAGAACTCATACACATATGTTCAAGTAGCACTTTGCATAATAACTAAATGACAGAAATGACCCAAATGTCCATCAACTAATGAATGGATAAATAAAATGTGGTATATCCATACAATGCCATATTCATTGGCCATAGAAGGGAATGAAGTGATGATATATGCTACAACATGGATTAACCTTGAAAACATTGTGAAAAGTGAAAGAAGACAGACTTAAAAGAACAAACATTGTGATTCTATTTATGAAAAATATCTAGAATAGACAAATCCATGGAGACAGAAACTAGATTAGTGGTTGCCAGGAACTGGGGGAGAGGGAGGTGAGGAGTTACTGTTAATGGGTATGAGACTTCTTTTGAAGGTGATGAAATATTCCAAAATTCCAAAATTGATTGTGATGACAATTGCACAACTCTGAATATACTAAATACCTTTACATTGTACATTTTTAAAAGATGAATTATACAATATGTGGATTATATCTCAATAAAGCTATTATTTCAAAAACAAATTCTATTTGAAAGATGCAGAAGACAAAATGGTGACTCATTTGGCTTCTAGTTGAGAATCTAAAGAACTTCTTGTGACACAAAACAAGCTTGTCTAAAAGGGTCTGTAAGTCAAAATTGAGTCAGTAGATGTATCTTTGGAATCTTCTATTAAGAACAGAAGAAATAATTTCTTAGGAAATAAAGACAAAACAAAAACAGTATCTGAATTTTGTAATAGGATAGGAGGCAAATCGAAATTTTCACTGCAAAAGTTAAGGTGAATAGCCAAGCAAATTCATATCATGTGTTCTTAGATAAAAATAAATCAGCTTTGAGGATTCTGAGTGCTTACATTTGCTCCTCACTAAATTTATTTATTTATTTAGCTAGTTAGTTAGTTATCTTGCTCTGTTGCCCAGGCTGGATTGCAGTTGCATAATCTCGGCTCACTGCAACCTCTGTCTCTCAGGCTCGAGCTATCCTCTCACCTCAGCCTCTGGAGTAGCTGCGATTACAGGCACACACCGCCACATCTGGCTAATTTTTGTATTTTTAATAGAGATGGGGTTTCACCATGTTGGCCAGGCTGGTCTCAAACTCCTGACCTCAAGTGATCCGCTCGCCTTGGCCTCCCAAAGTGCCGGGATTACAGGTTTGAAACACGGCAACCGGCCCTCACTAAATTTAAAATGTCAAAATACTTTATTGTCTATTTCTAAAGATAAAAATTTCTACTAATAAAAACAACCCAAGTAATCTATAAATTTACAAGCAATAGTCACCTTTACTCTCTCTTGCAGACACACAAATATCAAATGCTAGCACCTCAGATTTCTGTTTTAGATTTTTTTTTTTTTTTTTTTTGAGACAGAGTCTTGCTCTGTCACCAGGAGGCTAGAGTGCAGTGGCAGGATCTCGGCTCATTGCAAGCTTCGCCTCCCAGATTCACGCCATTCTCCTGCCTCAGCCTCCTGATTAGCTGGGACTACAGGCACCCACCACCATGCCCAGCTAATTTTTTGTATTTTTAGTAGAGACAGGGTTTCACTGTGTTTGCCAGGATGATCTCGATCTCCTGACCTCATGATTTGCCCGCCTCGGCCTCCCAAAGTGCTGGGATTACAGGCGTGAGCCACTGTGCCTGGTCGATTTTTTATTTTTTATTTTTTTTTTTTGAGACAAGGTTTTGCTCTGTTACCCAAGCTAGAGTGCAGTGGCACAATCGTGGCTCACTGCAGCCTTGACCTCCCAAGCTCAAGTGATCCTCCCACCTCAGCCTTCTGAGTAGCTAGGACTACAGGCGTGCACCAGCACATCTGGCTAATTTTTAATTTTTTTCTTAGAAATGGGGTCTCACCATGTTGCCCAGGCTGCTCTTAAACTCCTGGACTCAAGGAATCTTCCCACCATGGCCTCCCAAAGTGTTGAGATTACAGGCTTGAGCCACCGTGCCTGGCCAGACTTATTTTTGTTTGGAATCCTACCATAGATGTTAAAATCATGTTAACATGATTTTACCTATATAGGTATAGCAGGCAGTTAAGAATCATCTATCTACTCATCAATGTTGAGTTCCTAAAGACCCTTCTGCAATTCTTATCACTAGTTTGTTCTAATTATTAGGCACAGTCCTTGCCTGCTGTGACTAAGACAAACAACCACAAAACTTCTTCAGAAACTAAAGAAGTCTCGCCCAGTCAGCAGAAAAAGGCAAACACTGAGAAATAGGGAGCTAACAGATTACCTTTGCTGTCACTCTTCTCAAGAAAACTGGAGATAGAGGTGGGGTGGGGAGGAGTCCCAAGCCCAGTGCCAGCTCTGAGGCACTGTCAGCTCCTGATGACCAAGGTAACTTGGACCTCTTCCTTCAACCTCTGCTGGCCACATGTGAGAAATCTCTCATCCTTAGGAATCTTGCCAATCGGGCCTATGCCTCTTTGTTCATCCCAAGGAAGAGATATGTGGGCCTTGTAGCACACAGAGCCCTGTAGATAATATTCTCTTCCCAAAGTAAGAGACAGGAGAGCAGGCGGGGCTCTAAGTGCAGTCTATGTGTGTGTGTGTATGTGTGTGCGCGTGCGCGCGAGTGCGCTTGTGTATGTAAGGAGCCTGAAATTATGGAATGAATTGGAAAGAGATTGCAGCTATTTATATTTAAGAAGCAATTTTAATAGAAACTGTGAAAGATTTCAGCAGTTAAAGTGAAGAAAGACGTTCAGACATGGAAATGGGAATGACTGGACTGTCCACAGGGATTTTCTGCAGAATGTGTCATCGAGATAAATTCTCCTATTAGAACAAGCTGTTTTGGGCACTTTCTGTCTACGGTTTTAAGTGACACCCAAGTACTGCTGAGAGTACAGACTTTACTAAAGACCTTACTAAAGGCGGAGAAGAGGAAGCTGCCTGGGCGAGAGAGAGAGAGTGGGAGCAAAGGAAATGAGACTTCTGACAGAAGAAAAAGGGAGCATTATTATGGCAAATACACAAAACATGACATTTACTATTTTAACTATTTTAAAGTACACAATTCAGTGGCATTAAGTAGGTTCACGATGCTGTGCAATCCCAAAATTATATTTCAGAAAATTTGTCATCACCTCGAAAGGAAGCCTTGAACTTAGTAAATCAGTCTCTCCCCCTGCCCATTTCTCAAGTCCCTGGTAACTGCCAATCTGCCTCCTGGGAAGCAGGAAACTTGCAAACAAATGTCCATAGAAGTGCTATTCACAATAGCCAAAAGGTTGAAGCAATCCAGATGTTCATCAATAAATGGATGGATAGATCAAATATGATCTATCTGTGCGAGGGAATAGCACTTAGCCACAAAAAGCATACAGTACTACTGCCAATGGGTATAAGGTTTCTTTTTGGGGCAACAAAAGTGTTCTACAGTTGATTGTGGTCATGGTTGTACAACTTTGTGAATATACTTAAAATCTTTTCACTTTAAATGGTTGAATCTTACGGTACATGAGTTAATATCTCAACAAAACG